TGGGTTTCAGATTGGCCTCGATGCTGAGACCCAACACTTGAGGAAAGCGAGCAACAACTTTGGCCACTTGCTGCCGGCTCAGCCCAACACCCTCAAGCCAGGCCACCTTGGGTTTCAATCTGGACTCGATGCTGATACCCCAAATTCTTGGAAACTTGCTTTCCAAAGCCTGGATTGTGTTTCTTGAGAGCTCCAGCTCCCCTTCTAAAAAGGCAAGCACGTTAGCCTTCTTACTCTCGACATCTCTGGTGAGCACGGCCTCATTTAAAAACTTGCACGCCTTGTCAAAACCTGGCTGTGGCTTGTCGCCCTGAAGAGCATAGAGACGTTCCTGCACTTCATGTTGAAGCCTGCCTTCGAGGTTAGTGAGGAGGGTTCGCGTGGCTTGGTGCAAGGCATTCTTCACTGAGGACGAGTGTCCCGCTCGCCACACATCGATCATGGCTTCTCTCGAAGCGTCGGTCGCTCCCAGACCCCTACCTACATGACCTATCCGCAAGACGTGCGAACCCGCTGGCGCGTACGCAAGCAGAGCTTCGGTCTTGCGCTCGTCCCTCTGCCACCCCTGGGGCTCAGAATGGCGAAAGCACCCATCGTACTCGACAAAAAGAGCTGCATGGTCCTCCTTTAGCACACCAAATGCAGAGATGTCCGGACTCAACCATCGCGATCCCCATGCCTCGGACAGCTCTACCGGGAAATCCCGGAAGCACTCACCAATGGGCTTTTGCGGCATCAGCAGCTCTGCCAAACGAGACAACAGCTCCACCTCCGCGTAGCTGCGGTGCACCGTCCGCGGCCGGCCCTTCCTCCACCAGAGAGGAGCCGTGCTGAACTGAAGCTGATGCCCGAGCCCAGCCCGCAGAACTCCGAGCAAACGGCTTTGAAGAGTGGCCATGCCTGCCTGCACTTCTACAGCAGTTCAGAGTAACATCCATCTTTCGCCGCTTCTTTTGATGCTGATGCGGCATCACGACAGCACGTTGATATCGGAAAGAAGCAGGAGCCTAGAATCCCCCAAGCAACCCTGCAGCCTGCCCGACACAGCACTACAATCTGCCAAGGAAGCCCTCTAGTTCTCAAAACAGAACTTGACGCTGTCAGGCCCTCTTGAGCATGTTATTCATTCAATCTCCTGATCCTAACCCTAAAGTCTTAATCGACTTTCCCCAAACCCCAAGGCCTTAAGGGAACTTGCCTCCGCGGGGACGGAGGTCTCGTCGTCAACGGACTGTCGCTGCGTGGGCCGTATGCGGGCCTCACAGAGGCGGGTTGAGCTGAGCAAGCTCTGAGCGACCCGCTCTATCCCAAGCACTTCTGAAAAGGACTCTCAACACCTTGAAAAGGAAATTGCAACAACTTCCACGCCTAAGCCCTAAGCCGAAACATTTTCTCCAATCACTGACACTTCACAAGCACTGCCTCCAGCTCTTCAAGCACATGTTTCTCTGTGGACCTATGATTGTGAGCGCATCCCGCGGTCCAAGATGCTAAAGCGTTTCGGGCCTACTGTGCCCGTGAAATCCATGATCTTGCAAAGCCCTTACAAAGCCCATGTGCAAAGCCCTTATCAAACCCTTAAGTCTAAATTCCAATACCCAAATCCCAATCTCCAATCCCGAATCCCCACCCCAAACACTGTGCCCCGGACGGAATGGCGCCCAACTGGCCGGCAAGACCTGCATACTTTGGGCTGCGAGGCCTAAACCCAAAAACCCTGAATCCTAAACCCTAAATCCGAAACCCAAAAGCCCTGCATCATTTTGGCTGCGAGGGCGAATCGGCAGTGTTTGGAAATCGCATAGGGAGAACTGTGAAAGGGTACTTTAAAGGGGCCTTAATACTTAGAATGGGTTCGGGGTTCAGGGTTTGGGGTATAGTGTACTAGTATAATTACAGTAAGGAACCACGAAACTAGTATTGGCAATTATTTAGGCCCCTATGTTACTTTATGGGTACTGTGGGTTTCGGTACGCGTACGCTAAGGGTTTCGCAAGGGTGTTGTCAGGGTTCAGGGTTTAAGGGTTGTAAGGTGCCTTCATAAGTGGCCTGCTGGAAGGCGGGGTGTCTGTGTGATTGCCTGAAGTAAACTCTGCAACCTCTACGACTGTAGCCCACAGCCTGTCTACGGTTAGGGTTTGGGTCGCCTGCTGATTAGAGGGTCGGTGTGTTGTCAAAGAAGGACAAACAGGGATTCGTCGCTAGACTACACTGGCTGCCGCAGGGTTCTTGCAGGAGAGACTACGGCTTTTGGCTCCGTTTTGCAAGCTGCGGTCGGCGACCAAGCATCCCCAATATGGCGGATCTCTTTAAGAGTACGGTCGGTTGCATGAGTTTACCCAAATTCCGACATTCCGCAACACACCCGCTTCAAGAAGCAAACCCTTCGCAACGCAGCTTACGCACCTTCTATTCTGTACTTCTGGACTACACAGGACAACTGAAAATCGAAGTATGGTTAGACCCAAAATCTCAAGCCCAAAGCCAAACTTCAAATCCCTAAACCCACTAAAGCTCTACCCCGAAATCCCTGAGCCTTAAACCTTAAATCCCTGGTGTCTCAATCCCCGAATCCTTAGCCACTAAACGGCTGAGTCCTCCACTCCAATCTCCGAACCCGAAACCGTTTTAAAAAAATAAGATAGGAACCGTTAAAGGCTTTAGGGTTTAGGGGTTTCGGATTTAGGGGGTTTATGGTTTACAAGATTGATAGGGTTTAGGGGTTAAGGACCCCTTGCGTGAGACCTGAACCCTATCCCCATCCACGTGCCTGCGAGGGCTGTCCAGAAAGTCCTGCAGACCCTGGGGTGGCCTCAGCTCTCGCATCTCTTGCTTCATGCTGTAGGGGTTTAGGCCCTAGACCCTAAACCCTAAACTTTAAGCCCGAAGCCCTAAACTCTAAGCCGTTAGGGCCTTGGCTAAGGGCTTTAAGGGCTTTAGGGTGTGGGGGTTAGGAGTTGGGGGTAAAGGGTGTTGATTTGGTTTCATGGGGCTGTAAAAGGCTTCGTAAGGGCTTTAAGGTACAGGGACTTGGGTTTGATCTTTAGGATGAGTAGGGTTTAGGGTTTAGGGTTTAGGGTTTAGGGATTAGGGTACTTCGAGAGTCGCGGGACTTAGCAAGTAGATAATTTTCTGATCTATAAGTATCACAACCGCAATTAGATAGGGATTACCTACTTACTAAGTCTCCCGACCCTCCAAGCAGAAAGGTCTTGAGGAACAGGTCTTACTTGCAGGACCAGTGGCCGTCGTAAGTAGGATAACAAGTACCTTGTACGTAGATATAGCGATAGTTGCCTTACTTGTAACCCTACTTACCAAGTCCCCTAAACCTTATTATAGAACCCTAAACTTACTGAAACCTAAACCCTGAACCCTAATCCCTAAACCCTGAAACCCTTAAAGGAACCCTACTTATTAAGTCCCCTAAACCCTACACCCCTATAGAACGCGTATAGAACCCTTAAAGTAAGGACCCGAAATACGGTACCCCTTATCTTTTGAAACTACCATATTTCCGCTTCGAGTTGGAGCATCAGAAAATGAGACGTCCATGTTGCGAGGCACACCGCTCGGGCTTCACTGGCGCAGCTCACACTTGAACCACAGCCATACTTGCAACTCATCTTGAATCGCGGAATGTAGGTTGTGCCGCTGAAAATCTCAACAAGTCTTCGGTCGACCGGCTCGAAGACCTTCGAATGGACGCCAATTGGTGTGGGGGTTTAGTGGTCTAGGGTTTAGGGGTTGAGGGTTTGGGGCTTTTAGGGTTTTAGGGCCTGAGGCTTGTAGGGTTTATGGCTTTAGGGTGGATCCGGCTTCTCTTCAGCTGCAACAGCCTTTGCAGGGCTGTTAGAGACTGATAGAACAGGTCCTGAACACCAGTATCCAAAGGATTCGCTGGAGCTCGTGATCCGCTGACGAACAACACCCTTTCCGAAGAGCGTCAGTCTTGGGATTATAGTTTTTATGAGCAAGTGAAAGGGTTTACCCGATCGCTAAACCCTGGGCCCTGGACCCCAGACCCCGAAACTCACTTTTCCTAAACCCTTGATCCCTAAACCCTTAAATCATTAAACCCTAAACACCCAAACCCTAAACCCCTAAATCCTGTAGTTGCTTTTTGTGTGGGGGCTTCTGAAACGTAAACAGGTTTACATGGGGTTTCGGGATATTCGGCTTTTTGGGTGATCTAATCTCTTTTTCAGGGATACAGGTTGGTCCATAACCCCAAACCCTGAACCCCAAGCTCGAAACCGCACTACAAGTAGTGCCCAGCCTCGTGTGCCATCATGCACGAGTCTAAGGGCCTCAAAGCCTGAACCCTCCCTAGACCCTAAACTCTAATCCCTAATCCCAAAACACTGAAACCCTTAAAGGAACCCTACTTACGAACCAAAAAAGGCCACAGGTGTCCAGCATCGTGTGCCATCATCCACCAGGCTCAGGGACTCACCCGGTGAGAGATCCATTCCGGCGCGACCTGGTCGGAAGAGAGGCCCAAACACCCCAAGCCCGCGAGAAACATTCAACCCCCAAACCCTAAACCCCAAACCGCAAACCCTAACCAAAACCTATACCCCCACCCTGGCGGATTTTTTTCAACATTCAACCCTGACCCGAAACCCTAAACCCCCACCCCAAAGGATTCATGGTAAAGCCAACGCCCGGAATTCCTGAAACCCTCGAGACGCGAAGTGCTTTCCTAGACGGCTCAGGACCCCGCGGCTGAGTCCGGTGATGCTCCAAATAGAGAGGGGTTTAGGGTTTAGGGTTTAGGGTTTAGGGCTTAGGGTTTAGGGCTCCAAATAGAGAAAGACATGGGGGTTTCCGAACATCGGGGACCCTAATATAGCGCTCTAAAGAAGGAAAACCCAAAACTCGAAGCCTTTCCCGAAAAAACGCTCAAAAGAAGAGGTTTCAGGACGGGGGGTTTCTTCGCCAGGTTCGGTGCCTTTCGGATATCCATTCCTTCGGCTCCCCCTATTGTCTGCCGCCCCCCTCTGCACCCGAGGCGTAAGCCCTTTTGTCAAAAACCTTGCATCCCAACGTGTACGCATGTCTGTCCAACCCATACCCTTGAAAGAGACGGTGTCCCCTGAGTCACACCACGCCACTCCTACCTCTCCAAAACCATGGGGAACCAAAAAGCACCGAAACCTGTACTTCCCAACCCCTAGACACTACAAACTCTAAAAACAGCACCGTAGACCCTGAAAACACCGACATCTCCACACCCTCAGCCTTAAAGCCTAGAAGTGTCAGCCTTGACAGAGATGTTCGAGCGGTGGACGCACCTGGCACAAAACTTTCACACACAAGCTTCATTTCTTGTAACATGTTTGCCGGTTTAGGGCTTCGGGGGAGGTTCTAGAGTTTAAGGCTGACGGTTTGGAGCGGTTCGTCGGGGTCCTGGCGGAATTGCATCATAGAGGAAATCCTTGCTGCCATGGTGAGGGACTCAACTCAAGCTACAACAACAGTATGTTAATTCAGCGCTTTCGCTGAAGTTGAGCTCAAATCAAATCCCGTACCAAGTACAATAGAAGAGATTGTGCCTCCAGGGCTGTTAGACAAGCTCGGCCAAAGCCAGCCGAATGCTTTGCCAATCAAACGGGGCAGATTCCCAAAATTCTGGGAGAATGAAGGCGTCTGCCCCTGCAACTATACTTGGGGGATCCAAGGATTTCGAAAGGTTACAAGTGGTCTTCGATAAGGAGATAACTACCTGCAGCTTAAGCCTGGGCTTGTTTTGCAAAGACATGCAGGCGAAATATGTCTGTGCTCTGAAATTTTAGTCCTTAGACCTCCTCGACATCTGTCTTGTAGCTATGTGGGCCCTTTCTCCTGGTAGCGGTCTTCTGGCACTCCCCTTCCATGAAAAAGGTGACTGGTGGG